CTGTGTCTTCCAGGGTGGTCCACGTCTTGCTGGCTTCCACCGCCACCGGGCCGAGCTCTTCAGCTTCGTCGCTGGCATCCTGCGAGTCCCACGACTGCACACTATCGGTTTCCATCTCTATTTTGTCAGAGTTTTTGTCTGACAAGGGCACGTCACTGTTGGTTTCTGGCTCGGACCAGACGTCCGCCTCCGCTTCAGGAATTGGAGCATGGATGCGCTCGGGCTGCCTTGGCACACTATCGGTTTCCATGTCTATTTTGTCAGAGTTTTTGTCTGACAAGACCACGTCACACTTGGTTTCTGGCTCGGACCAGACGTCCGCCTCCACTTCAGGAATTGGAGCATGGATGCGCTCGGGCCGCCTTGGCATGCCTAGCACTTCCCACATGGCTTCACTGCCGCCTTCGGCCCACCGCCTCACCCAAGGTGTCCGCGCAAACGGCTGCGGAGACACGGCATCGGTCCCGAGCAGATCATAGTGCCCCACGTTGCCGATCTCTCGGTGCAGCAGCTGCAGCACGGTCGGGAGCCGAGCCACTGCCGTCCGGCATTCTTCGTCCGTGACACGAGTCTGAGTTCGTGCCCAGTAGTTCGCGTCAGGGACGCCGCTCCATACTATAGCATCGAAGTCGAACTGCTGGGTGAGCGCCCACAATTCTGCGCTGGTCCCATGATGGAAGGAGTCCAGACCGTTAGGCTGCTCCACCACAGCCAGCACCTTACTCCACAGCACCAGCTTGGCGTCTGGAACCTGTGCCTCCACGCCACCGCGCCGTCGAACGAAGTCTCGGTGTCGCTCCAACTCCGCCTCCGTTTCTGGCACGCAAGCTGCTTCAGTTGCTGCGGCATCTGGTCCAGCCAGCGCCGCCCACAGCCACTCTAGCGCCTGCAAGTAGATCTCCGCTGCAGCACGCAGACACCAGCGCGGCCTAGCACCTGCTCCAGGCCTGGCCCCGTACCTTGCCACCGCATGGAAGAGGCACCAGCCATCTCCAGGAACTGCCACGACTACACCCCCGGCTCTGTGCCCAGCCCCACTTGCCATGCGCTGCTAAATCACTTACCAGCGCCCCATGGGCAACTGTCACCAGCCTGCAGCTCCTTGTCCGCCCCGCGGGCAACTTTCCCCTTCTTCCGGCGCTAGACCGTGCGTGATGCTTGACTCCTGTGGCTGAAGCCTGTTGGCGTGTTTCGGGCGCGGCCCCAGCTGTCTAACAGTTTGGACAAGTCTGAGCTGCGAGCTGCAACTGCTGCGAGAGAAGCACCGCAAGTTGGCCCTGCCTTTGTGAGTAATCATGCGCAACATGTGACATTCCCAAGGTGTTTTCATATTCTTTTTTTCGTGTCTTACAGTGAAAGAGTCGCGCCACGTTCAGGTGAAACCAGACTATTGAAACAACCCTCAACGACAGGTTTGTTTGCGGCGCTTTGCTTGGCTGAAACGGTTCGAGGGTTGGCTTGCCCGCAGAGCTGGTTTCCAAAAACCTGGCGCCAAGCCAAGGGCTTGTTACTGAAGTGGACCTTGCTTCCTACTGTTGCTTTTTTTGTCCCTTGTAAATAGCCTGCAAGGCTTTGCGACAAAAAAAAAAGTTCCATCGCAGCTAGTGCGACGAATCTGTTGTGTGATTGCTGCTAGTCCGACGTGGCTGTTGCGTGACACATGTTGCTGCTTGAGCGACTAACGTTTTCAGAAGCTGCTGTGTGACACATGTTGCTGCTGATGCGACGAATGTTTTTGAAAGCTGCTGCGCGAGAAATGTTGCTGCTTCTGCGGCGAACGTCATCAAGAGCTGCCGCGTGAAACATGTTGCTGCAAGCACGATGAACATTATTGGTGGCTGCTATGTGAAACATGCTGCTGCTTGTGCAACGAACATTTTCAGGCGCTCCCTTGGCTTCACTCGGCCTCCCTTAAAACTGCCAAACTGCGCTTGCAAAATGCCTTGCGACGCTGTGCAGCGCGCGGTCAACTGATGCGGGGTGATCAATCTGCTTGTGCTGTCTGGCGTCCCTTAGCTTCACTCGGCTTCCCTTACAACTGCCAAACTGCTCTTGCAACATGCATGGCGACACTGCTGGCAGCTTGTGGAAGCGGGTGGAACAGTGTTGGAGAATGGATGCATAATAATGTATGGAAGGGATGGAACTGGTGGAAAATGGATGGATGATTGATGGCAACTAAAAAAACAAAGTACACTAAAGGAGAAAGCAGATGGGATGGCTCGGACATGGATGGGAACCTGGACGGGGCTCAAGTAACAGGAAAGGCAAGGACGTGCAGGCACTGGAAGTGCAGGAGCGGGCCTGACGGGCTGGCCCCCGCCCTCCTTCCACTTCTTTTTCGACTTGGAAGCACCCTGCGGGCAACTTTCCGGTAGATGACGAGTAGCGACTGAAGGGCAGTGAAACAGATGACACTTCAAATGCAGGAAAATGAAGTGACAGGGCGGGAAACATCCAACGGAAGCAACTGCGGCCTTTTCGGCTCTGACACCATGCGCATTCCCTGGCTGGCGCGACCATCGCCTTTTCTCCATGGCTGAAGCGGTCTATGACTGAGAAGCGCCCTGTGGGCAACTTGCCGCCTCCTCCCTTTCGAGCGCGTTTGCAATCGCGACTGCTGCTTCTTCTCCATGTCTGCAGAGGCACATGACTGAGAAGCGCCCTGGGGGCAACTTCCGCCCTGTTTCCGTTCTAGCGCGTGCATGCTGCTTCAACCTGCGCATGTGGGTTTGGCGTGTTGGCGCGCTTCTGTGGTTTTAGCTGTCGAGCAGTTTGCACAAGGCTTCGCGCTGGGGTGCTTACAGGGGGGAGAAATGCGACTGACACGGCGCTCAAGGAAGTGCAGGGAGCTCAAACGCACAGGAAGCAAAGGGAAATGCCAGGAAACTCTCAAAGTTGCAGGAAAGACGCGCAAAGGAAGTGAGGTTCAAATCTCGGCATCTCATCCGAATTAAAGGACAGGGAAGTGACAGAACAGGCAGGGCCAGGTGCCCGGTGGCCGGCTGTGTCGCGTCAGCGTGTAAATCCGGCCACCGGACGTGATCGGGCCGCAGGCCTAAGCCCGTTAGTGCCGCCGACCATGCGCAGAACATGCGCAGAACATGCGCATACGTTTTATGCTGGGCCCTCCCTTATAAGGGGCGAAGGATTTGCGGATTGGTTTAGGCGATTTCCGAGGATTTTTGTAGCATCTCCCCGCAGCGCCCAAAACCGAGTCCAAAAACGAGCATTTTTAGGGGCTGCCTAATACTGGACAACACCCAGCATTGCCAGCATCATCCCGGATGATGCGGGTGATGCTGGGGATGTTGTCCCCTAAGTCGGGCCAATTTTGCCGAAAACGTGCAACCTGAAAATCTTAAAATCTAAAGTGGATGGAAAATGGATGGAACATGGCCTGGATTGAAATCTCAAATTCCTAGAACTTAGAATCTTAAAATCTGAAAATATAAAAAAAAAAAAATCCTAAAGTCTTCGAATCTTGAAACCTTAAAAACCTTATGTCTTAGAATCTTGAGATCTTAAAATATGAAATTCCTAAAGTCTTACAATCTTAAAATCTCAGAATCTTAAAAAGCTTTAAACACTTAAATTCTTTAAACCTCGAACAATTGAAATCTGAAATTCTTAAATTATTAAAATATTACCTTCCTTCAATCCGGGCTATATTTTAACTTCCTTAAACTCTTAATCTTGAATTTTTGAAATCTTGAAACCTTAAGATCTTAAAATTACAACCTTAGAAGATAGAATCTTGCAACCTGAACATATAAACATCCTCAAGTCTTCGAATCTTGACTTCTTAAAACCCTCATGTCGTTGAATCTTCAGATGTTAAAATCTTAAAATATGAAATTCCGAAATTCTCAAACTCTTAAAATCTCAGAATCTTAAAAGCTTCAAAAACTTAAATTCTTTAAATCTCGAACTATTGCAATCTGAAAATCTTAAATTCATAAACAAGTAAAATATAATAAAATTTCCTTCAATCCGGGCTATATTCTAAATTCCTTAAACTCTTAATCTTGAAATTTTGAAGTCTTGACATCTTAAGATCTTAAAATCTTAAATTCCGAAAGTCGCCAAATCTGAAAATCTCGCCAAAAATAAAATCTTAAAGCCTTCGAAATCTGATAATGGATGGAAAATGGCTGGGCAATGGCCTGGCTGTTATAACCTTCAAACACCTTAAGTCTTTGAATCTTAAAACCTTAATTCTTAAACCATTGAAGCCTTAAATTCCAAAAGTCTTCAAATCTGAGACCCTTAGAATCTCAAAGTGTTTAGAATTGTTTAATCTTAACATCTACTCATCGGACTTACCGGAAAGGGAAGTGACAGAACGGGCAGGGCAAGGTGCCCGGTGGCCGGCTGTGTCGCGTCAGCGTGTAAATAATTGCTCAGAACCCAACTCACCCAGTGCAAAAGCTTCAACTTCTTTGTTGGTTAGTGGGAAATGCAGCAGGGTGAAAACAAATGGCACGATTCCCATTCTGTGGAAGTAAGGGGACGACTAAACCAAAATGAGGGAATTGCGCCTTCTACCTTCACCCGACTACAAAGGTAATTCTCCAAGCACGGCCAAGGAAACTCACGGAAACACATGGTGTGGGACCTAACAGGGGCCTACCAGGCGATGATTCTTTGAATCGTCAAAAATAAAAGGGGGACATAAGTTGGGCGACCAACTGAATGGGTTCCATCTTCAGGTTCCTTTCGGATGCCACACACGGGTGGTTCTCAAACTCGGGGACCCATTTTACGACCGTTTTCCTTTTGGCTCCCTGTTCGAAGCTTCCAAAAGGGGTCCGCCATTTGGCCATGGGTCAAAACCCAAATCGTACCCCCAGTGAACATCACAATCCCCACTGAAATAGACTAAAGTGGGTGGTGCACCTACCCCAAAATGGTACTATTGGTTTTGACTCACAGCCATTTTAAGAAACCCATGATGGTCCTTGGCTGGGAGCGACGTCTTCAATTGGACTGCGAGCGGCCCGGTGTGCAGCATGTGCTCCACCAGCCGGGGGTGGAGCGTCACCAGGGATTCGTAGCCCGTGATGGTCAGCTCCTCCGAGACCTAAGACTCAGACCCTGATATGGCCATGGGTCAAAACCACGCCCAGTGAACATCCCAATCCCCACTGAAATAGACTAAAATGGGTGGTGCACCTATCCCAAAATGGCACCATTGGTTTTGACCCATGGCCACATAACTGGGTTGCTGATCCCTCTGCACAAAGATTGACTTTTGTGTGTCCAATTTTCCACCAAACAGTGAAAAAGCAAAGTCCGAAGATCCGTTGCCAGAAAGATCAGGGGGACCACTGTGACACTCACGTTAAAGGCTTGCTCCAAGGAACTTGAGTTACTTGCCACCAACGGATATATAAAATGCTTAAGTGACCATTGACTGCTTGGCGGCCATTCGTGGGCTGTAGTTCCGCGCACCCTACAACCAGCCCGAACGGTGGAAGAAGATCCTGTTAAGATCAGGGAAAAGTTCAGTGGAAAAACCTACAGAAGAGGGATTTGGGCTGTGTGTGTCAAAATAGGGGAACCTGCAAAAAAGTTGGCTTTCCTTTGGGTGTCCCAACAAAACGGGTTGCAACCAGTGAGCCAGGTGTGTACATAGAGGAGCCGTTTGCGAGGGTCTCTGGGAATCAAACTGCCAATGGCTGACTACACCCGTCAACCAAGAAACAAAGGTTCATGCGCAGTGGAATATACTAGGTCTCTTAAAACAAGGGAAACTATGTAGGGTTTGGGAGGGTCCTTTTGCTTTCCCTTGAACACAACTACTCTCAAGACAAATGCGCTCATGTGGCTACGATATTTTGATGATAATGCCCTCAAAAGTGGTTGGTTGACATAACCTGCAAGTGTGACATATCATACCCGTTTGGATTTCTCGGGTTCCGGCACACCCCAGTCCGTAAACCATGTGAGTGGATCGGAGGGAACCCTTCAAAAAAGGACTCATTTCAAACTGACGTCCTTGACAAGATTGGCTCAAACTGCTTCTTTGCCACTAATCTGGTCTTCCCCGCAAGTTCCGAGTCCAGGAATTTGGGGTGCGGGAAGTATGCCAGGGAATAAGCACAAGTGGTTTAAACGAGCGGATGGCCAACTCCTGTGGCCCCTTTCAGGGGTTTAACAATGGCTTGAACCTGTTCAAAGCAACCCCAACGCCTCAAAGGATCAGCCTAAGGTCGGCTCTTCTCAGTTTCTCAGAATGCCACAAGTCCGTGTTGCTTCCTTTGGTTCCCCTACCACCAACCAAAATGGGGCCCGCGCTTTGGAGAGACCTCCAAAGGGAACTCCCCTCTTGAATAGCTGGGCTGTCCTCAGATCCCCTGCCAAAGCTGTTAACTTTTCGTGAGTTAAATGGACACCCACCCAAACCACCTGCACCACATGAAAAACCAACTAAAAACCCTTTTCACCTGAGGCTGGCTGGCCTTTTCCAAGAAAAGAGCGGAAAGGACGCAAAGCTCTAGAAGTATAGAAGTACCTTCCCCATTCTTTCCAGGGATCCTCCTCTTCAGGAAACCATCAAAAACCCAGGTTGGAAACAGCCGTTGTTTTTTTCTTTTTTTTTTTTTAAAGAACGATGGTTGAAACCTGCCTGCGGTGAGACTTCCGGCTTGGCCTCCGGGCGCTGAGCGTGGCATGGGCCACGCCCCCGCTGCAGATGAACAAATCCCCCGGCCGCAGCAGCGCGATCCGGGCGGCGCACCTCGCGCTCGAGGGCGGACATGACGAGTATGAACGGGTCTTCAAACAGGGGATCCCCAAAAAATGTCGCTTTTATTGTGTCCTTTAAGGTTCTTCCTTCAAAATGACCAACCAAAAGGTGGCCTCAACAAAAAGACAGGGTTGTCTTGAATGGGGCCCATTCAAAGGGCGGGCCCATTGAAATGGGGGCCTAAAATCTCATTAGACTTATTAACCACCGAAGCTTCCTCATGAGAAAAGCGTCTGACTATCTATCTAGCCCAATGATTACACTTAACAATGAAAATACGACGAGTGAAGTACCTCACAGCCCAATTCTACTTAGTTAGGCCCTGCGCATAGAGTCTATGGCATGGCATTGAAATTCAGATAGAGCACCAACAGCACAAGTATTCCCCAGACGCGAGGCTCGTTGACTCGGGTTAAAACTGAGGCAAGGTGTCAAATGCAGAAAGCACAACAAGAAGCTAGGATCTAGCTATTTAAGTCGTTAGATACACAAACACCAGGCATAAGGCCTCCAAGATCCTCCAAGCCATTGTTGACGTCGACTCCGTTGATGGAAAAATGCAGAGAAGGTTGCTGAAACAAGAGCTGTTTAAATGTGTATCGTTGGCCCAACGCTGTTGGAAACTCAGCTTGAAACGGCCTGAAGCAGCGGTGCTCAAAAGTCCCGATCGTCGCACGTTGGCAAACATGTTGCTTTTTGGCGCGGACGCCTTTTACTTGTACCAATTTTCGACCCTTGTGGTTTGGTCATCATGTTGAGGTGATGAAATGGGGGCAAGGCCTCAAAAACAACTTGTCCTTTTGGCTTCCCTTTTCACCGAAAGCGGTCAAAAGCTGGCCAGTGCCTGCATTTGGCTCGCTTGTTACAACCCATTGAGGGGTTGGGGTCGAAACGGCCCGCCTCAGCGCTGCAAGCTGCTGTTCTTCCAAGGGCGCTCGGAAGTGCGCGTCCCCCATCTCTCGCACCAGCCGTGTGCTCTCGCTACCTGCGGCGGCTTTGTTTTCCTGTTCTATCCACGCAAATGTCGAGTAGGTTTTTAGAGCCAGCGAGCCACTGGTCCCTGTTGACCCTGGATTAATCAACCTGGCGGAACCCCCCGTGGTTGTGATTGGTTGGTTGCCCTTCAAGCCTTTAGTTGTCGCCTGACCAACTCGCCACTTCAGCATAACAAAGAGTCACACCCATGTCAACCTAGCCATGCTCAAAGTGACTTGTTTCCCTAGAGGACATGGAAAAACATGTGTGTTCCCTGACCCCTGCGTTTTTTTGCGGGACATTTATTGAGACCCCATGGCCCTCCAAATTTTGGACCATATGACATTTTAAGCACCATGACCGAACCTCATGTCAGCCGCGGCCCCAAATGGACCATAGACCGGAAGGGACCGAACATGACCGAACATGACCGAACCTCAGCCGCATGTTTCTTCCCAAGTGCCTGCAGGCCAAGTAACCATGAGCTTGTATCCCTGCCACTGCTTGCCCACATTGCTCCATAGCACCTGGCGACAGGTCAGGCTTTGTTGGGTATACGTCTTATGGGGGCACACCTCCTAATGCTCGGTGTCATTTCGGCTGTCCTTTATAACGGCCCTAAGACTCGGACCCTCAAAAATACGTAACCATATACAACCATATTTGCCACTTGAACTTTGTAGCTGAGCTGGAATCCTAGACCCACCCCTTAAAATGGCGGCAGAACAAGATACACCATGCTTGATCCTTCCGAAACGGGATCATCCGGCTCCCTGCGGGAAGTCTGCAGGACTTTCGACTGTCAACTTGTGCGGCCTACGCCTGAAACGAACGCAGGTGCCCATCGGAAAAGGCACCATCGACTCTGCCATCCTTTTCGAGCTTGCGCAAATCACCACTGCAGTGCAAAATAGATGTTGCCCGGCAAAGAGACCTCTCGGACTCAGCTTCTGTGTTCAAGGTTGAACACCTTCTGGCAAAGGTTAAGTGAAAATAGTGACGACAAGCAACATGAACTAAGCATCCTTGAACAATACCCCCTGATCTCTGGGATAGTCCGGACCGACTGAAACCTATGGGTCTCGCAGAAAGTTGCCTCAAAGCTGAGGAACAAATCCGACACCCCCACACACAACCACACGCAGACATCGCCGCGGACAAATTTGGCGCCTGGTCAACATGCAGGCCCTTTCCACTGCCACGGCCCCCCACAAAGACCCCGTCGTCGTAGCCTGGGCTCGACTTGACGCAAACTTGGGAGCCCTTCCAGTTCGGCAGCAACGGCACCTTTTGGGAAAACAAACCTCTGCTTCGCCAACGGACGCGAAACGCGTCCGTATTTCCATAAGCCGGCCGGGTGGTAGCCGGGTATCCGAGCGGCAGTTCCAGTACATGGTCCACTTGGAGAGCTGCGCCAGCCAGTCTCGCGCATGGCGCAAGCAAAGGCTCTTCGTGCCCTCCTCACAGCCGTAGTCCAGCGCGAACTCGTTGGCCTCTCGCCTCAGATTCCCAGCCACCGCCACACGGCCACACGTACATGTATATACACGTACAAAGCAACAAAAAAGACAGCCGAACAAACGAACAAACAAACCAACAAACAAACAATCAAACAAACAAACAAACAAACAATCAAACTAACAAACAAACAAACAAACAAAGAGGCAACAAACATCGCCACATCCCAACTCTGTCACATGTTCCGGATATGTTCCAAGAAACTCCCGCAGCCGCCGCATCTCGCAGGCATAGAGATGCGACCTTACCAACTTGCCAACTGGACAAACTGCCAAAGGTGACCCGACAGGAGGATCATTGCGAAATACACCTTTACCTAGGTCCTCCAGTAGAGAGGTTAGAATAAGGGTACCCTTTTTTGTGTAGTCTATTTTAGTAGGGGAACCCTCCCCCAAAAAAGAGTAAAAGGGCACTACTGGGGGACCTAGCTACGCATGCTTCTCATGGCTTGCAGCGGCTTGTTTGCTTGAACAACTCTTGCTTTCAAACCAATTAAGTAATCTCATCAACATCCACGTGACAGCTGTCTTGCCTTTTGGCCATGTCACCAACGAATAGCTTCAACGCCTCCAAGCTTGACGTTGTGGGGCAAATGCTCTTGTCAACAAAGACCCTGTTGCCTGCCCCGTGACCGAGCGGTAGTAGAACGAACACCCTGTTTGGGATTGAGCAACCAAGGGTCAGTGGATCTCCCCTTCAAAAGCTGCAATTTATTGGTTTCCGAAACGATCGCCACTTTTCAAGGTTCCCGAAACGGACATTGAGGACACCTTGACAATTTTTGAGTGGCGAACCCAAAGAACAAGCTCATGCTGGTGCCACTGAACAGCGCAAACCCCGTGGCGAGACTCCACGTGGTCATCATTCTTGTCAACTGGTTTTGCTTCTGATGGACAAAATCCTGCACAAAATGGTAAGCGGTTTATCTCAATATTCAGAGGGTTTCATCCATCGCAGCTGGTGCAGGACTTCGTCCATCCACAGTACTCTTTGTTCAGCAGTACCATTACCACTATGTCTGTTCTGATTATTACCATTAACACTATTACTATTACCATTATCATTATGACCATATTACCATTATCATTATGACCACCGCCACCACCACCACCACCATCACCACCACCACGACCACCACCACCACCACCTCGTCATTTCCAAGTTAGATGAGGCTGAAATTCCCTAAACCACCCCAAATGTGGCTTCCAATGTGTGACCCCATTTTTTTTGGGGGGGGGGCTGGCAACCTGAATCCAGGGCGCTCTTCCAGCTCCCCCTTCCTCAGCAAGGCCTCCGCCGCCTGCACGCGCTGCCCCAAGTTCCGCCAGCTCTCCGGCATCGTCATCTGGGTGGCCACGTCCGCGTTCACCCGACCTGGCGCCACACGCCAGGGGGTTGCGGTGCCCGTTTGCGCCATTTGGGCGTGTTGTCGGCTGCTTTTCAAGGGAAACCAAAAGGACAAACCCCATTTGGTGAATCACCATGTGTCAAAATTGGGATTTGCGATCCCAAAATCGGTGGTTTCTCTATTGGTTTCCCTTTCAACTTTCAACCAACCTTAGAAAGGGCACCCTTAAAAAGCACGCAAACACACCCGCATCCTGTGGACCCTCCAATTTTGGGGCCCCACTCGAACGGATCGAACGGTACAAGTTGGGCATCCTAAACGGGCCAAAACGGTGCTTAAAACCGCAAAAGGGGATATAGCCATTTTACTGGCCCCATTTTTGCCAAAGTCACCGGATCCGTTTTGGATTTGTGCTTGCCTTTGCGCTTCAGAGGGGTTCAAATCCTACCACCCTTCCAAAACGCCAATTCCCAGCACCCCCCAATGGCTGGCCAATTGCCGGCACATCGATTTTGGACAAAACGATGTCACTTTATGTCTAAGTGACTGCAAAACCAATTTGCTAGCAAGTATCACTCATCTGCACTTAGTGCAATTTGTGCAATGATACAGGTGACCTTCCAGGGTCCTTTGGAAGGGGGTTGCAGGGGAAAGGGGAGAGCGGCAAATTCAAGGTTTGGAGGGCAAGTTGAGGTTGGGAGGGGTTCTTGAGGAGCGTGTCACGGCGTGTCACGGCGTGTCACGGCGTGTCGGGGGGTGGCCAATTGCCGGCACATGTACGTTGAACGGTCACTTTTTTGGGATGTGAGCGTGTCACTAGCGTGACGCCCCCCCCTCTCGCCCCCGCGCGTTGCATGTGCAATGATCATACATGTCAGCCCAACCCCTCAACCGGATCCCCTCTGGTATCCTGAAGTGACGTTTCAACAAAAGTGACTTTGCACTGCACTTTGATGATGGAAAAAAACAACTATGTGACTACAAAACCATTTTTAAGCAAGTGCTGGTCAATTGCCGGCACTTCACCCAGGACGCCAATTACCGGCCATCGGGGGGGCCTGATCAGGAACAGTCTATTGTCTTCCCCCCCGTATTGTCTTCCCCCCCGAGCAACAGATCGATCATCCTTTGCAGGTTTGATGAAACCCCCGTTGTGGCCAAAACGGTTTCCATTTTGAGATTTGGGTGGCAAGCTAAAGTTTAGTTGTTGTTTGCCAGTCGCCTCAGGAAGTGAGTTTGGGTTGGCAACCCAAAGAATGCCGATGGGGAGAGCTAGATTTTGAGAAACCAGATGGGTGTGTCTTCAAATAGGCTGTTCTGTCGTGGTTTCTCTTTGAAGCCCTTCCAAAAGGGCACAAAAAAACAAACTTAATGAATCGCAAGCAAAACACCCGACGGGCCAGCGAATCGGACAGAATACCCGCGGCCTTCGTCATCCCAAAGGCAGAAGGGATACGGCTTCGGAAGCGCCTCGCGCTGCACGCCTTTGTCATCCGGGAACTCCAAAGCTGCCTACGGCGTCTCCGTCACATCCAAAAAGCGGGTCTGAAAATGGATGGAGGGGTGGAGAAATTGGATCTGATTTTGCTACAATGGCCACCTCATCCACATCATGGATCTGCTTTTGATTCTATTCCAACTTGGCCAGAAATAGATGCCCTGCAAACAAATATGTTTAAAGGGAAAAGGAGGGAAACATAAATGATTACTGTCGTTGTTTTCCAAGTTGGGCGCATAAAGCGAGCCTCGGATTCATCGGCGCTTCTGAAACAATCTTTTCAAAATACGGAATCTCCATTCCCGGAGACTGGTTTGCAATTGATTGAAATGGATGGGGCCCACAATGGATATGCGTCAACATAGTGGAGCAAACATGTGGTGGGTTTTTGTTCGGTTTCCCGCTAACACAAAACTCCAAAGAGAGTGTAATTGCACTGGAAAAAAACCCACGCACCCGAAGTCGGCACCTCTTGGCCCAAATGGATGCAGCAACAAAAGAATCATATCATATGTTTTTCATATTCAGTCAGCCCCAAAATATGGCATCTTTTGGGTGGAGACTGCGTTTTCAGGTTGGTTTACAGGAACAAAACACCACCCAAATCCATTTGGGTCCCGGCATGTCGTCCAAATCCCCGGACGAGTACCTAAATGGGGACTCACCACCATTGTAGTTATTGTCCTTCCTTCCCTTCAAAGCAGCCCCCAAATCTCCCGGTATACCCTGAAACTAAAACACACACACACACACACACACCCTGACTGGGGCAACAGGTGTTCCCCGCTGCCTGGGCCTTCAACCCCCCCCCCCCCGGATCGATCCATCGCCTTGTGGGACTCCAGGTGGGGCCCCAGGCGCTTGAGGCAACGCAGCACCGAGCTTCCGGCGGATCCGACGGACGCGGCGTCGCAGAGCCACGCGGGGAGCGCCTCCCGGGGTGAGAGGCCCGTCCTGCGAGGCGGGAGTTCGGGCCAAAGGTTCGGAGGCCTTGGTAGAGTCTCCATGACCCCTAGGGATCAAAAACCCCTTGACTTTGAGTACCGACTTTCATTTTTCAAGGGTGGAGAGCCCAGGTAGGCCTCAAGGCCTCGGCCAGGGAGAACCTCCCAGAAGAGGCTCTGTTTGAAAAGAACGGGGCTCCCCATGTTTCCCTTTAAAACTATCCCATGAAGGGGTTGAACAGGTTGATAAGAATGACCATTCGCTTTCGCCGGACCGACCTTGTGCCCACACATCAGCCAGGCCCTTCACCGGGCGAAACGGTGAAACGTGGAACTTGAAAGAGGGTTGAGGAGCTTCCAAAACTCTCTGATCGAGTGGATTGGCCAAACAAGGAACCGAACTGCTTCTTTCCCAAATTGGTCTTCGCAAAACAGGCCAGGAATCCAGGGAGTGAGGAAAACAATCCTGGGATCCTAGAAATGGCTTTGCCAGGTTCCCCCCCTGGCCTTTTTTGTTTGGATCCCTGGGAACCCGAGAAGCCACGTAGACAGAGTAAAACCAAGGGTAGGGGAGAAACCCCGAATGGCCCCAACATCCAATATCCATGAAAACAACCTACCCTTCAGCATCCGGAAAAAGGCTTGTGTTTTTTCCTTGGTGCCCCTTGGAAATCTTTTGGGATGTATGTCCAGTTTTGAGGTCCCCTATCCAATGGCAAACACGGCACGGCGCCCAGGCAGTTCCGCGTTGATTTGATTTCAAGTCCGCCCAGATCCCGTCCTCCGAAGCCCATCCGGAAGAATCACAATGTCCTGGCGGATTTCAATCCGGATGCCTTGGGTCCCGATATGTCCATGTCCAACCGAACAGCACGCAAAAAAAACCGGGTGCCAGTCAAAGAATCCAAACACCTCTGCGATTTGGATCCAGTTCCGGCAAATGTTTTGGCGTTGCTTTGACTGGCCCCTGGTATTCTGAAGGGGCCCCGTGAGGCCCGGATCCGGGGCGTGCAAGTGGACCGCAATTTCCTTTTGGCTTCCTCCAACCGCTGCCGACCACTAAAGCATGGCAGCCAAAGTTGGCGCATGGTTTAATCTCAAGGGTACCGTCCAACAAGACAGCCTACTTGGAGGGTGTGGCGGTTTCAGTTGCCAGCCACTGGCCACTACTCAAACATGGGCCTGACCAACCAAGAAAGGGTGGTCTTGTGGAATCCCGAAATAGCCTCCCACAAAACTGCATGCAAGATCATGCAAGTGCAAAGGCTCCCCATTTGTGAGGGCCAGCTCGCTTCCATGTTTGTTGGCGAGTGGGCAGGCACGAATTACAACTTGGCCATGCAGGTCCGTCCTCGTCAAGGATCTCTGCTTATTCTGTTGAGCTCATTGATCAAGAACAAACGTGATCAATAAACAAACTCTTTGCGGGCCTTGACAGCAAGGAGTAAACTTACCAACAAAAGTGTTCAACAAATTGCCAACCAGTTTCTGACTTGAATAGACGACCTGCAATGTGGGCAAACCAAATTGTGTTACTTCAAAGGAAAAACACCAAGCATTTGGGTCCTGCTCCACTGAGACCATCTATGACCCCCGTCAATTGAACCAAAATCATGACCCCAGCTTCTTGGCTGCAAAAAAGCATGCTGGATTCCCCTGAATGCTTAGACCGACCATACCGAGCGTCCAAATTTGACCCACTCATTCCGTCCTCCAAGTGGTCCTCAAGCAGCAGGGCCTCTGCGAACTCTTGGGGGCTCTCCACGTAGCGCGGGGCCGTACGGTCACACAGGAGATCCTGCGACCAGCAGCCGTTGCTCATGCCCGAAGGTCGTGATCGACCTGTTGTAGTTTCATGGAAAAGGACATGAATCGACGGGCGATCCAGTCACGCCAAAGACCGAATCGCCGTGAAACTAAGGTCTCACAATGAAGTCTCAAAATGAGGAGGGCCTTTGGGGAAAGGGGTTATCTCAAAATAAGACTCAACATGAGACTCAAAATGATTGGTCCGACAAGAACTAAAAGGAACTTCCAAAAGATGCCAATGAATCCGCTGGACTGTTTACTAACATAGGACTCCCAGAAAGTGACTTAACTCGCTTTCTGCGAAAGTGTTGGAAAAAGGGGACACTGAAAAGAACGCTGTTGAGACACTTAACAAACAATGAACAACTTGTGAGTTGTTAAGCACCCATATTCACTTGGGTCATTACAGGTCTCACCAAATATTACACCATTCAGGGGGCCCATCCTCTCAGCCATGAAACTGCAATCTTCGGATCAAAAACAGAAAAGCACCTAGTAAATGGAATAAGATGAATCTAAACCAGTGTCATCTAATTCTAGCATTTCCGACTTAAGCAAGGATTCCCAAATACCCTCAAGAGGAATCCATTCAAGACGAACAAAGAACACCCTTGAACATGACATGGAAGCCACAACCCCCCCCCCCCAAAAAAAAAAAAAAAAACAAAAGAAAACAACAACGAGAAAAACCAAAAAAAACAACTCAACCAAAGGAGCCTCCCAACTGGGGGGACCTGCCTGGGTTTTTCCCTTCGCTTCGTGCAGGGATCCAGGGATCCGCTTCGCCTCCGGCCAGCCGGCGGCCTCGATGAGACGCTTCTCATCCGCACTTAAGCGCATGGGCGCTTAGCGCAGAAGGGCCTCCTCTCTGTAGTGTGTGTGTGTGTGTCTCTCTGTGTCTCTCTCTGTGTGTGTGTGTCTCTCTGTGTGTGCGCGTGTTTTTTCTCTTGTTGCCGTTTTGTGTGAAGGTTCCGTAATTGTTGGGTGTGGTGTTGCTTTGTGTTTTGTGAGGGTACTGTCATTGTTGGCTGGTTTTAACGCGACAAAGGAAGGCAACTGTCTACCCTAATTGTTGGGTGGTTTTGCAGGGAAGTAAATAATGGTGCAGTTTTTCTTGGCTCTGGTGTCGGGCTTTGCCCCCATTTTCTGACTTTGATAACCTCCAGAAGCGGTCAAAATCATGACCCAAGCGACATGATGGTCCTTTGGTGCAAGCGATCGGAAGGCTTTTAGCCCCCTGACAAATGACTCGATTTCCTTCCAACATCCGTAGTCCGGAGCAGACATCCGTGCAAAGTTGGCTTCATTGCAGCATCTATGGGAACCCACAGTACAGCTCATGTTAAGAAATTGTGTTCATTTGCCAATAGTCACAATAAACACCTGGTATTAACGCTGGCTACAAATCAAATCATGTAAGCAATTTCGAGGGCGGATATCCGCAGCTGTTTGTGGTTCTCATTGTCCCTTGACCTTCACTTGCCCGGGTTTCAATTGTCCCGTCTTGAGCGCATGGTGCACGATAAATATTCATAGGGGGCTATGGGATCCAAATTCAGCATGAGGCCTTAGGCTTATCCTTGACTCATCCTAGGCTTGTCCGGGTAGCCTTGTCTGGAGGTCCATGAAATACGGTGGCAGTAGCACTGGCACAAACACTGTCTATTCTCTAATCCCCAAAAGCAAGAGACCTTCATCTACGTTACTTTGCTCCCAGCTCCCGATAATCTGCCCAAATGTTAAATCCAGGTATGGAGGCAATCTGTTTGCTGAAGCCGCATGTTGTCCGTGCAAATCAATTGGCATTGATCTCGCCCGGAGGCCTCATAACGTCTGGGCTTGAGGCCGCGTAAGTGGAGAACACGAAAGGGACAGCGCCTTTGGCAGCTGAAATCCCTGTTCGGCGAGAGGTTCAAGGGTTTCCCCATTTAAAATGCATTGCCAAAGGCCTTTGCGGCAAGGCAACAATCCCACTACGAAAGAAGCCTCGCCGTGGAATCGGGCTAAGGCAGCCTCGGTCACTGCAAAAGCGTTATCAGCTGCCGAGGACCGCCAAAGAGAACAAAAAGCATCAGCAAAGAAGCCGGTTCACTGCCGGAGTTCCGGCAACCGTGTGGCGCGCTGCGGAAAGCAGGGTGCACCTGCAGCAAGCCAACAGAGATTCTCCAAATTTCCGAGATCTGCCCAACTTATTTGACGCTTGCGTCGCCTTGGGCTTGCAACAGTCGCCTCTGGCGGCCGCAGCAGGCACAGGCTTCAAGAGTGAAGAAACATGTACATACTGTATGCACGTATTATACATGCATATAAACATCCCCTTGGAACGGACTCAGCCGCCTCAAACCGCCGACTCAGCCGGCTCGCTCAGTTGCGGTTGCTCCATCTGCTTCGGCTCCTCAACCTGCTCCTCGACCTGCGCCCGTCGGAGCTCGCGCTCCTCTTGGCTCACCACCTTGTAGCAGCCCACGCGCCACCACCAGACCTGAGACAAACTAATCCGACCCTTGCAGAGTGCAACATGACTTCTAGTTGAGAGGACAAAAAATAACCAAGAACAAACCAGAAAGCAAACAAGGCGAGCTAAGTCTGTCAATGAGACCGCCAAGCCCGCAACCACGCCCAGAGCCAAGATTGTCACCACGATGCCCCCTGCGACGCTGGCCTGGTAGAGCAGGGAGATGGCCAATGTCACTCCTGGCACGACCAAAAACATCACCAAGATGTAAATCAGCGGCACGAAGCGCCAGTAGGAGGCATAGAACCCCAAGGTGCAGGCGGCGTGGATGATCACCCTCCTCATTGGGGGCGCAGGGAACCAAATGAGGATGCCGATAATGTTGAAGAGCAGATGGCAAAGCGCGATCTGGATGCTGTCCGCCTTCATAACAGCCAGAGCTGCGAACATGGAAGTAAATGTCGTCCCGATATTCGCGCCGAGGGTCCTGGGACAGACGAGTCGACCCCCTACAAAAAGTCAACTCTTTGCTCCCGCATCTTCATGTTCGGTAACATGGCCGGACTATGTCGGACCAAGAACCGGAGCTGGCCGAAAGGGAACATGAAAGAAACATAAAACAAAACAAAAAAGGATAAGCAAAGTTTGGCGATGGGTCATTGGCAACATCTTGGCGACGGGCAGGACTCCAATGCCAACCAAAGGCGTCAGCGCAGAGGTCGTCACAGAACTGGACTGCACGATCAAGGTCAGGGCAACACCCAGCAGCATGGCCAAATAGTCGTTCATCTGGGTACCCTTCCTGGGCGCTGGAATTTTTTAGAGCGGCCAAACGAATTGAGAAAAACTACCCATAGCTCCTTTCGGTTTCCTGGAAAATTGCCAAATCTTACGCTGTTTAGCACCCAGCTTCATGATCACCCTCTTTGCCTGGCCCATAACCAGGCTGTGCAGCAGCCTCACCATAACGTACAGCGCCACGCACATCACGATCAAAGCAATTGTCAGCCCAAGGATACCGCCCGCCACGTCACCGACATCCTTCAGGAAGCCCTTGCCAATGAGACGCGCACCTTCGATCTCAGTCGTGTAGTAGTTGCCGGCATCAAGGTAGCAAGCGTCAGAACCGCAATCGTTCGCGAAGGCCCCACAGGCCTGCAAAGCCTCATAGCCCTCCTCCGCCACCTTCTTCCAAGCTTTGCTCATACCCTCGGACACACAGTAGTAAGTGCCGCAGTCTGCGGAACCGCAGAAACTCGCCGGGATGGCATGCTCCAATGGCGCACCGAAGGAAAGAGCCTTCACGACGTTCTTGTCCTTGCTGAGGACAGCCTTGGTCAGGGGACTCACAATCGCCTTGGTGGGAGAGGGAAAGGTCAGGTCGGAGGCGTCGTTGCCCAGGATGGCGTCCGTCAAGCCCTTGGAAATCCAATAGAGGAGTCCGCCTTCGCCCGAAATCGCCGCGATGATGATCTCGATGGGCAGCAAGGTCAGGACACTCAGCATGTTGAACCTCAGTGCGTTGACCCCTTGCTGAAAGTTGAACTAACTTTAAGTGAGGGCGTGTCATAAATAGAACTCTAAGCAACTCTCAAGAATGAGAGACAGCACAATTATGTCATGAATCCATCTTCCATCTCAAGCAAATCAAACGTTTAAACTCTAAGGAGATCTCAGTGATATGTCATACGAATTATGGACATCATGTCTAATCGGCAAGGCACATGTCATGGACCGTGGCACCGGAGAACGCGCGCTCAAGCTCAAGCCGGTCGCCCACGTGGGCCATGGAGACGATGGTGTTGGTGACCGACGTGCCTAGGGTTGCTCTTGTTCGACCCAATGGATCGGCACATGGTCGACGGGTTTTCGCTTTTGGAAAAGGAGGCGTTGGTTTGGGGTTCGGAGCAACCATATAACACATGCTTTTGTAGGGGATTCTGCCTGGGACCCCGTGTCCAACAAAAATGGGAATTGCAGGGTAAGCCCGCGTTCGTCACTTATGT